AACCCATCAATTGTACTACTAGATATCTACCCCAAAGATACAAATGTAGTATCCGGAGGGCACCTGCACCCCAACGTTTATGGCAGCAATGTCCACAATAGCCAAACCATGGAAAGAGCCCAGTTGTCTATCAACAGATGAATGGATAAAGAAGAAGCCTTCAAAACAATGAAACCTTGCCATTTGCAATGACATGGATGAAACTAGAGGGTATTGTGCTAAGCAAAATAAGTCAACCAGAGAAAGATGATTACCATATGATTTCATTCACATGTGGAATTTAAGAAACAAAACAGAGGATCATAGGGGAAGAGAGGAAAAAAACAAAACAAGATGAAATCAGAGAAGGAGACAAACCATAACAGACTCATAAGCATAGGAAACAAACAGAGGATTGTTGGAGGGGAGGGGTGGATGGATGGACATTAAGGAGGGCACTTGATATTATGAGCACTGGATATTATGTAAGACCTCTACCTCTGAAACTGATAATACATTTTATGTTAATCAATTAAATTTAAATTAAAAATTTAAAAAGAAAGAAATCAAAGAACTATATAAATGAAAAGATATTCCATATCCATGAATAGGAAGACTTGATATTGTCAAGATGTCAGTTCTTCCCAATTTGATCTTTAAATTCAACTCAATCTCATTAAAAATATCAGCAAGTTATTTTGTAGATATTGACAAGGTGATTCTAAAGTTTATATGGAGAGGCAAAAGACCAAGAATAACCAGTCTACCATAAGAACCCAGAGTTAGAGGATTGATACTACCTGACTTCAAGACTTACTATAAAGCTATAGTAATCAAGACAGTGTATGGAGCCTGGGTGGCTCAGTCAGTTAAGTGTCTGCCTCTGGCTCAGGCCATGATCCAAGGGTCCCGGGATTGAGCCCTTGCTCCCTGCTCAGTGGGGAGCCTGCTTTTCTCTCCCTAGCAGCTTGTGTTCACTTATGCTCTATGTCACTATCTTTGTGTCTCTCTTAAATTAAAAAAGAAGAAGAAAGAGGAGGAGGAGGAGGAGGAGGAGGAGGAGGAGGAGGAGAAGAAGAAGAAAGTGTATAAGGTACTGGCGAGAAAACAAGTGCATTAATGGAACAGAATAGAGAACCCAGAAATAGACCCACATAAATAGAGTCAGTTGATTTTTTAGATGGAAGCAAAGGCCATATAATGGAGAAAAGGTAGTCTTTCAACAAATTGTGCTAGAACAAGTGGACATCCACATGAATAAAAAAGGTGAGGGGCACCTGGGTGGCTCAGTGGGTTAAAGCCTCTGCCTTCAGCTCAGGTCATGATCCCAGCCAGGGTCCTGGGATCAAGCCCCACATCGGGCTCTCTGCTTGGTGGGGAGCCTGCTTCCTCCTCTCTCCCTCTCTCTCTGCCTGCCTCTCTGCCTACTTGTGATCTCTGTCAAATAAATAAATAAAATCTTAAAAAAAAAAAAAAAGGTGAAATGAGAAAGCTGTCTTGAAAGGTTACTGTGAAGGTCACCTATGACAAGAACAAAAATTGCCCAGCAAGTTCAGTGGACTTCAATATTCCTAAGTACCCATCTCCACAGGAGTGTCATATGAAGGGTCCAGTAATTTATGTCAGTCACCTCAGTCCTGCCAATCCACTGGGTAGGATGCAGTATCAGCACATTGACCTCAGGAAGCTCTGCAGCCCTTTCACCTTATGGGAGATGTTCCCCATAATCCTCTGCTTGTCCCTGGCTGAAAACAGACTTCACCTGCAGAAGCCAGGCCCAACTCTCATTTGATTAAGTGTCTATTAGACATAAAGCCTTTTCTTAAAAGGGCGGGTGGGGGGTAACTCTATTAAGACACTGAGAGGGACACCTGGGTGGCTCAGTCAGTTAAGTGTGTCTTCTACCCAGGTCATGATCTCAAGGTCCTGGGATGAGCCCCACATCCAGGAGTCAGCTTCTCCCTTTCCCCTTGCCCTTCCCCCCACCTCATACTCTCTCATTCAAATGAATTTTAAAAATCTTAAAAAAAAAAAAAAAAAAAAGACATGAGATGCTCAAGAGTAACAAAAACATACAGTAACATTAAATTAAGTAATCTGGCTTATATGTATTTATCCTCATTCCTTCATTTCCAGGATTAAGAGATCTAAAACTCATTCAATAGATTTGAACTGATTCAAATAGCAGCCTTTCCTTTATACCAGTTCTCACAGATGAACAAAACCCCAATCCATAGACTCTATTTTAACTTAGGGTTTAGAACTACCCACTGTGAATTATTAGGTTAGTCCATTTTGGAGTTCATAACCTAAAATAGAAATGCAGATGGTAGAAATGCCTAGTGTTCAGGAAGGATACTTTATTAGTGCATCATTTAGATTTTCTTAGTTTCATTTGCTGTATTTCTTAATGGCTACAAACCTTGCTTTTTATTTATTAATGTGGTGAGTTTAGCTTCAATATCAGTTGCTTGTAGTCTGTTTAACCTTATACTGGATAGTTTCCCATAGCCATAACATTAATTTGGGCCTCTTGTGTTCCAATAATTAAGACTTTAAGCCATGCATATACTGCAAGTCAAATATGAATCATGCATACCCTGTCACTAAGAAACATGAGGAAGCTGCTCTTCCCCCAGAATCCTGCTGAAGTTCTTGGTTCTTTTTCCATTGAAAAGTGAGAACACATCAGCTATGGGGAATGCGGGGTGTTTGGCCTCATCTAAAGGTACTTCAGCAACCCCACCTCTAAGTTTGAGAGCCACTGACCTCCGGGAAGATCACCCTCCCCGGTTCCTGGATCCCCATGCTATGGGAGAGGTCATCTTCCCTCCAAATTCAGCGTGATGTCGCAAAGATAGTGAGCTGGTTAGCAAATGTCTACTCTCCAGTCATTTTGTTTTCTGAGATAACTTTTCTCTGAGGGTCTACCTTTTTCCCAGATGATCAAAATTGGGACCATCCACTCCCTTCTGAACCACTTTTGTCCATAGGGATGTAGCAGTGCCCTCCAGCCACAGGACATTTCAGGATATACTGCAAGAAGGCCAACACCAGAACACAAGGCTCACATCACACATGCATGGTGTGTGACCAGAGCTTTTGTTCTACTACAGATTTAAAGTGAAGTCACGGCACCTGGGTGGCTGTCGGTTAAGTGTCTAAACCCCTACAACATGTAATGCAGACAAAAATGAATGTCATTCTGGGCCAGCAAGAAGGAAAAAATGGGAATAAAGGTGTAATCAATACTTGAGCCAGGTCAATGGCTATGAGCTTTCAAGTCAGGTGGGCCAGGGCATGAATCCTCCCGACTTTTCCACCAACCAGCAGCGGACTTTTACCCTGAAGGTAACCCTCCTGAGCCAGTTTCCTGCACACCAGCAATGTTAACTTGTACCTTGCAGAACTGAAATGATTAAAGACCTAGTGCGGAAAAAAAGCAGACACTAAGACTCAGTAGGAAGGGCACCAGTGTTCTAAAGCCAAGTTCTGCCTTGGGCGCCTGGGTGCCTCTGTTGGTTAAGCATCAGCCTTCAGCTCAGGTCATAATTTGATCCCAGGATCCTGGGAAGGACCTCCATGCCCTGCTTCCTGCTCAGTGGAGAGAATCCCTCTCCCCACTGCTTGTGCTCTCCCCCAATAAATAACATTTTTAAAATAAATAAATAAAGCAAGTTCTGCCTCAACAGGCAGGAAATTTTTCACGAGGAAGACTATCTGGGGCCAGGTTGGGAGGGAGGTAAAGGTAGGGGCAGGGCATTGGGCAGGGCCAGTCACTGAAGCGAGGCCAAGGCCTAGAGGGAAGAAGCCAGTTCCCAGTGGTAAGCAGTTCAGAAAGTTCCCTGCTACACCGGCCATGGTACTCCCTCTGCCCTGGCTCTCATGTTGCTGCCGTCGCCTCCTCCTGCCTTCCTGGCCCCTAGCCCCCCAGGGCTCCTGGAGGTGCTGCTCCCAGAGCCCCAAGGCAAGCACAGAAGAGCAAACCAGCTCCACATGCAGTGGGAAGATAAGGTCATCCCCAAGGGTAAGTGGCAGCAGGTGTGGGGGCAGATGGTAGGGGGAAAGAGGGGGGAGGATTCCCTTTCATCTTGTGTCAGGGGCCTGCTCCAAGTAGATACCACCCCCACTCCCAGAGCTTCTGGCCTAGTTCCAACTTCCAGATCCCCAGCACCCTCCCCACCCCCAACCCCTCTAGACCTCAGGGCTCCCTTTCCCCACAGCCCTCCCTTCTTATAGAGTCCATTAAGTCCTTGAACAGGAATTTCCCCTAACAGTTAATTATTTCTTAGTGGGGGTAGGGACAGCCAGTCCTCTCCTCTGTATCCTTCCTTGTACACGGAGTCCTTTTATAACCCCTGAGCAGCAAACTGCCCCCACCCCCAGGCTTATGCCTAAGACAGAAGCTTCCTTGGCTTCACAGCAGATGACCATGTTAATGTAACAGGGTTCAAAGGTGAGGCAGACTGCCCCAAGCCTCAACCCTGTGCCCTGGCTGATGCTTCCTCCCCTCTGCCCCCCCAACTCAGGGTCCCCGGCCCGGCCCCACAGCTGAGCTGGCTCAAGCTGAGGAATTGCTGGAGCAGCAGCTGGAGCTGTACCAGGCCCTACTGGAAGGGCAAGAAGGGGCCTGGGAAGCCCAGGCCCTGGTGCTCAAGATCCAGAAGCTGAAGGAACAGATGAGGAGACACCGAGAGAGCCTAGGAGACGCCTAAGCTTCCTACCAGTTCCTACTTTACTTTCTAACACTGGAAACACTACATACCACCCACACTGGGCCTTTGGGTCAGAAACATCCCAGCCCCTCCCAAGCCACTAAGAAAAATGGAAGACACCTCCACAAAGGGCAGCAATTGGGAAGTAGCAAGGAGCCATGGCCTCTGCATTCTTAGTCACATCTCCCTCCCCTCTGACCCCTTGTCATCTGACCTGGGCCCCACAGCAGGGCACACAGTCCTTATAGGAATATACACTGAACCATGGTCCAACCTCACCCCAAATCCAATAAAGGGATGGAACACTTACAGACACCACAGACGCATGTGTTTTTTAGTTTTGTTAAAAAAAATTCAGACAATTCCGGAAACAGGGGTTTAGGAGTGGTGGTGATGCAAAAGGGGGAAGCCATGGGGTGGGGGTGGGGGTTATCAGGGGTAGGTGGCAGTAGTGTCTCCTTCACCCCATGCCCGCTGTCATCTCCTGAACAGGGACAGACTGTCACATTCCAAATAGGTTGGTGAGTCCTCTACCGCGTCTGTTCAACTGCAGAGAAAACATGGCACAATTAGGACAAGACATGGACAAGGCAGGGACCCGCCCCCATGCATGCAGAGGTCTGTAGTTTGTGGATGCAGAGGATAGGATGGGAGTGAGGAAAGATAAATAGTCTGTCAAGAGAAAGAGACCTACAGGTCAACTAAACATCCCAACAGGGGCATCAAGATCAGGGGGATATAACTTGCCAAGTGTCCATTATGCACCAGAGACTTTAGGTACCTAATGAGATTTCAGACACACACACCAGGGAAAAAGGAGACTCTCAAGAGTTGAGGAGCCAGTTCCATGAGACCCATACTCACTGTAAGAGGAAATGTCTATCTCATCGGGCAGCTCACTAATATTGACTTCAAATCGATCCTGCACATCATTGAGGATCTTGGCATCATTTTCATCTGACACAAACGTGATGGCCAAGCCCTTAGTGCCAAACCGACCTGCTCGGGCCACCTGGAAGGAGACAGAGGGTAGCACTGGGACGACTCCCAAGTAGGAAGATTCGCAAAAGGACGGGTGAGACAATTAGGTATGAAGACAGAAAATCAGGGAGCAAGATGGGACACTGGGATGCCCACATGGGAGTGGAGCTTACCCTATGCAGGTAGGTGTCAGAATCCTCAGGCATGTCATAATTGAAGGCAATGTTCACCCGCTCAATATCCATGCCTCGGCCAAATAGGTTGGTAGCCACAAGAATTCGTCGTTGAAAATCTTTAAACTGCTGATACCGAGAAAGCCTTTGTGAGAAAGGAAATTAGAAAAATGTTGAGTCCCTTCTCTCAATTGTCTCTTTTCCTTCCCAAGGACACAAAACATCTTTCCATCTCTGACTCACCTCTCCTCCTGGGGCATCCCTCGGTGGATGGCAATGGCTGGGAAGTTCTGCTCCACTAGAAGCTGGGCCAGGGCAATGCAACGCTGCACAGACTTCACAAAGATCACCACCTGGGTGTGTGACAGGGGATGTGGGTCTATGTGGGATCCGTGAGAGATTATGTACAAGAAGAGTTTTCAGTAACTCCACTCTTCTAAAGAAATTCCTCCTAATCCCCATCACATATTCCTCCTCTGTTCTAAATGTAACTTAAGCCTTTCTTACTCAGCTGATTTTTCCTGAGCAGACATACTGCAGAGAAGTTAGAGAGAGTAGTAACCAAAACTACCAGGTAGAATGTAGCTAATGGTAAAAATAAGAAAGTGATCAAAAATAAAACTAAAGTCTGGAAAGATCATGACCAGTATTTCCTACTCATTAGAAAAAATATAAGCAATCTACCTTAATTTCAGTAAGTTTTTGGTACTAATAAATCCACAAAACAGGTTAAGTGATGGGGCATTTCTTCTCAGTAAACAGCATGAGAAGAAACAAATTTAAAAACCTAACAAACCCAAAATATTTTGGAATTTTTATAAGCTTATGAAATCCCAAGAATTTTCTAAGAATTTTCTTTATTGAGCTTTTTCTTTACAAAACACCTGGCTGTGACAGCCATGGAACAGAAAGGCAGCTCTCACCTTGTTTAAATTCTCATTTAAGGGGCGCCTGGGTGGCTCAGTGGGTTAAGCCTCTGCCTTGGGCTCAGGTGATGATCTCAGGGTCCTGGGATCAAGCACCGCATTGGGCTCTCTGCTCAGCAGAGAGCCTGCTCCCCCTCCCCACCTGCCTCTCTGCCTACTTGTGATCTCTGTCAAATAAATAAAATCTTAAAAAAAAAAATCTCATTTAAAAGAATTTCATTTAAAGCCAATTTCTCTACTGTTCATGCTCACATCACGTCACATCCTCAATAAATGGGTACTTAACCAGGTTTCTGCTACAGCTGGAGACGTGTTCATCCACCTACTGGACCTTGAACAACTGACCTGATTGAACTCAAGGACATCGAGAAGGTCAAAGAGCTTCCGGTTCTTCTCGTTGTCCTTCAGTTTCACGTAGTACTGCTGCAACCCATGCAGCGTCAGCTTCGTCTCATCATCCACGAAGATCTCCATTGGCTGGGGGGGGAGGGGGGAGTAGGGGTGGGGAACGGGAGGAGGGCAGAGTGGGGGGGTTAAACCTGGGGGGGTGGAGGAACTTGATCTCCAATACACCCCATGGGGGGATGGGGAGAAGAGAAAACTGAAAATCCCACCATACCCCCAAAAATACCCCTTTTAATGTGGTCTCTTCCACATTAGCTCTAATTTCCTTCCTATCAGACATGAGTTTTAAGACTGCCTAACCTTAACCAGGCATGGGAAGGGAACTTTCCAGAAAGGAAAAGGAGCAGTGGGACCACCCATTGGCAAGATGCCATTACCTCAAAGGGAGGTGCCAGAGGAAAGAAAATGGGAGATGATCCCCAAAGGGAGAATGTGATCGAAACGCCTGGGTACTGGTGGGACAGAGTGACTCGAGGTCAGAGTTAACTCAGAGATGGTTGTAAAAATACAGGGGAAGACCAAGATTGCTTCATTAGAGCATTCTCTTAACTAAGAGAATAAGGAGGCGCCTGCGTGGCTCAGTGGATTAAGCATCTGCCTTCAACTCAGGTCATGAGCTGAGAATCCTTGGATCAAGCCTCTCATTACGCTCCCTCCTCAACGGGGAGTCTGTTTCTCCCTCCCCCTCTGCCCCTCCACCCGCTTGTGCTTTCTCTCAAATAAATCTTTAAAAAAACAAAACTAAGGAAATCAGATCCACATCAGGAGGGCGGCTATCTTCAGATCAGAATGCTACAATAGATGGTCTCAAAAATGCCATCAAAGAAAAGCAAAGGTTACTCAAGTTGAGTAACAACTTGCCCTCAGACTACATGGGAATAGTTTAGATGGCACTGGTCTTTGAACTAAGAGTCAAACCAACTAGAGTATTACAGGGATGGTACCATTAAATGGTGTTAAGAAACAAATTCAGAGCAGCAGACACATATTCATCTGCGCGCATACACATGCGCGTGTACACACAGGCGCACACACACACACACACACACACAAAACCCTTGAAGGGGAGGAAGACAACATAAAAAAAATATAAATTGACACAAGACTCAACTCCTGAGTCCAAGTTTCCTAGCACTCTTCACTAACCTGGGGACATAATTAACATGAACACCCAGGGTCCAAGATTTTAGGAAAGGAAGTGTGGCACAGGAGAAAACCAGAAGCCCAATCCCAGAAAGCAGGCCAGTACAGGCAGGCTTTTCAAAAAGTTCCATGGCCTCCTTCAAATCTAATCCTAGCCCCAAGTATAGCTAAAGACAGTTAACACCCCATGGGAAGAAGCAGTACAGGATGGGGAAAGAATACACTGCACTGTGTATACAACAGGCCCCATCTAGTCCCAAATCCTGACACCCACCTGGTCACATTCAAGTGGAGCTCCTCACTTTACCTTTCCCATATCCCTCTCCTCTGAGCATTAAAAAATTGTTTTAAAAAAGAAAAAAAAAATCTACCCCCCCTTTCAGGACACCCCTCCCCCCAACACATATGGGGGGAAACGGGGAGCACGGCACGCCTTGGATTCAGGAAAAAAACCGGGAACGGAAAAAGAGGCTGGTTTGGTCCTCAGCTTCCTGGTCAGGTTTTCCCGCGGCCTCCGCTGCCGCCATCCACCGCTGGGTGCCGTCCGCATTTCCCCCGCCGCTCCACGGTGCTTCTCTGCTGCTGGCTCACATCAACCGAGACTCCGGATGGGTGCGAGGAGGTGTGGACGGGAAGGAGTAAGGGATCGGGGACTGAGGTGCCAAAGGCCCCCACCCCTGGAGGTGGGGAGGGAGCGGATTCATTTGTGCTGTTTGCTCTTCTTCTGGACATGCCCTGCAATCTGTCTGTCCCTCTCTTGCTCTCCTGCCACCGGGAGGTTATGAGTTTTGGGAAGCAGAAGGCTCCAACTGTCTGCTCGATGCCACTCTGAGGGTGCGTGGCTGTAAAGGGCTATGTAGGAGACGACGGGTGGGTGGTAGGGCAGAAAATTCTGCCCTCCCCCAAAAAGAAAGAGGTTCAAAAATGCTGTGATGAAAAAAAAAAAAGGTCGAACACTACCCGCTCTCAAGTTAACCCGACCAAGTCTTCCGGAGTTTCCCTGGCGCCCGCGCAGACCCTAACACTAGCTGTCTCTGCCTCTGTGTGTCTCTTCAAGGAGTCATCACTCCCAGATGGGCACGTGCCCCCTTCTTGGCACTTGAAGGACAGGGAGTCTGGAGGAAGAGGGCGCGGAAGGGGAGGAGGCAGTGGGCAGGGAGTGGAGGGAGAGAAGGTAGAAGGGTATTTACGTCTTGCATGAACTTGCGGCAGACAGGACGGATCTCTTTGCTCAAGGTAGCACTGAACATCATGACCTGCTTCTCATGGGGGGTCATGCGAAAAATTTCCTGGACATCCCGACGCATGTCTACAAGAGAAAGGAAAAAAATCATAGGAGAAAAGAAGCATTATGTCATAGACAAAGACCAGAGACCGCCTCCCCAGTGAGGTGAAGACTGCTGGAAAAGGGTAAGCAAGATTCATTTCACAGAAAGACTGGTCTCAGGTACTCTATTCACTTGAACCACCATAAAATCACATCCACTGCAATAACACAGTGGAATTTGAAATAAAGACTTGGGATCAGATTCCAGCTTTGTTTTAACCAGGCAATGGTTTTTTTAATGGTTGTTTTAACCAGTCAAAAAGATAATGAAACAAACCCTGAATCTCACAATTATGACATGGAGATGAAGCCCACTGCAGAGGCTCACAGGCCTAAAACCCTTGAAAAATGCTTTACAAGGCCCTTCTCCCTTTCTCCCCTTGCCCAACTTTTCACAAATACTGCACACCTAATTACATTCTAGCTGTCAGAGTCCATTCCATGCTTCCTCTGGATCGTACTTTCTATCCAGCCAGGCAAGTGAGATCCCTCTATCTGAAGCCCACCTTATCGGTCACCATCTGTAACAGCCAAAGATGATCTGGAATGACTCACCCCTGGGGCTATGTCCATGCCCACTGTCTCATGTATTAAATGTGGGTTCTTACAGGTGATTTGCCTTTCTTGTGGCATACTGGATTACAGAAAATCCCATAAACTCTCCACATTAATCTTAGGTCTAAAGATCTATTCAGCTATAAATTCCGATATATGCTGTGCAGGGGATGCGAGAAAGTAAACAGTTTTCCTCTTTCAGTTTATTATCTCCCCAAACATCCCCAATGAGAAGCTAAAAAGGAAAGAACAGTGGTGTGACTAATGTCTAAGATCAGCAGTCACTCCTCTTGAAAAAAAAGAAACCTCCATCACAGAAGAGAAGGACAAAACACACTTCCCCTTGATCACCAAGATTGCTTAAAAAGCCTAACAAAAACCAAGAGGGGAGCCAGAGCCATCAGTCATGGGTGATAGATTAAGAGTCGTCCTGGCACTGAAGTGCTCCTGTAGCAAATAAACATCATCTGGCTCTGAAGGGCAACTCCCAGATCACTAGCCCCACCCACCGTTGCCACTCACCGAGCTGTTCAAGCATCTTATCACATTCATCCAAGATAAAGTGTTTAATGTGTTTGAGATTGAGGCTCTTATTTCGAGCCAGGGCGAGGATGCGGCCAGGGGTCCCCACAACAATATGCGGGCAGTTCTTCTTCAGCACCTCTTCATCCTTCTTGATAGACAGACCACCAAAAAACACCGCGACCTGTGTTAACCCAGGAGAAAACTGTCTCACAAGCAAAGAAAGAGTCCAATCTCCCCACAGTTCCCATCCTTTTAATCTAAATGAATTCTTAGAACATTTCAAAGCTACAAGGAATATTAAACATCACCCAATCTAAAATTTTTATTATGATGCCCAAACACTGAAGCTAAGAAACAAAAGTGACTTGCCCGAAGTTATGTGGCTAATCAGAGCAGTCAGGACTAGCATTTTCTTCTGACTTAATCTAATAATCTTCCTTCCCCTGATTCTGTGGCCAGACTTCATTCTAAGAATGAGGATAGCAAAAGCATCTGGCTGGTAAAGCATGTTGACTCTTGATCTCAGGGTTGAGTCTGAGCCCCACACTGGGTGTAAATTATGAACAAACTTAAAAAAAAAAAAAGGGTAACAAGAAATCACCAGAGCAAGGTATCACAAAACACTCATGATGGAATATCAAGTTTTTTCCTAACTAAACTCAGATTTTTCTTTTTCTTTCTCTTTTTTTAAAGTAGACTCCATACCCAGTGTACAGCCCAATGTAGGGTGTGAACTCACAACCTAGGAATCAAAACCTGAACCAAGATCAAGAGTCTGATGCTCAACTGGCCGAACACCCCGGAGCCTCTGAACTCAGATTTTGAAATGCCTTTTTGCATAAACCTTATGAAATTACTGATTCAACATATTATTCCACATTAAAAACATAAGGGGAGGGTGCCTGGGTGGCTCAGTGGGTTAAAGCCTCTGCCTTCGGCTCAGGTCATGATCCCGGGGTCCTGGGATCGAGCCCCACATCGGGCTGGCTCTCTGCTCAGCAGAGAGCCTGCTTCCCTTCCTCTCTCTCTGCCTGCCTCTCTGCCTAATTGTGATCTTTGCCTGCCAAATAAATAAATAAAATCTTTAAAAATAAAAATAAAAACATAAGGGGAATATTTGTTGTGGATCTGAGCCTTAGTACAATACCAAATAACACCAGAAACTGCTTTCTAGTTTCAAAGAAAGAAAAATTAATCACAGGATAAGACTGTCACAAAAAAACTAAAATCACTTATTACAGGACAACCAAGTTTGCAACAGGATATACAAAGCATATCAACTCAAAACAACTTGCCAAAAACATTTAACTTCAATTAGTTAAGCTTTCAAATATGTATTTCAGTTAAAGGAAATTAGAAAGAAAATAACTTAACACCATTAAGGGAGTAACCAGACAAATCCACACATAGGCTATTCTGTAGAACTAGCCCAACCTCAAGTCACTTTAGCACAATTTTTTTATTTTTTAAAGATTTTATTTATTTATTAGACAGAGATCACAAGTAGGCAGAGAGGCAGGCAGAGAGAGGGGGCGGGGAAACAGGATCCCTGCTGAAGAGAGCTCCTGATGCTGGGCTTGATCCCAGGACCCTGGGATCATGACCTGAGCCAACGGCAGAGGCTTAAACCACTGAGCCACCCAGGTGCCCACTTTAGCACAATTTTAAACAAAAGTAAGAAAACGTCATGACAATTTGTATTCAGTCTTAACACAAAGAATATTCTCTTTTGGGGCACTCAGGTGGCTAAGTTGAAGAGCATCCAACTCTTCATCTCTGGGTTTTGAGTTTGAGCCCCACCCTGGGTGTACAGATTACTAAAAAAATAAATAAATAAATAAACTTAAAAAAATTCTTTTAGGGGCTCCTGGGTGGCTCAGTGGGTTAAAGCCTCTGCCTTCGGCTCAGGTCATGATCCCAGGGTCCTGGGATCAAGTCCCGAGTCAGGCGCTCTGCTCAGCAGGGAGCCTGCTTCCTCCCCTCTCTGTCTGCCTGCCTCTCTGCCTACTTGTGATCTGCCTGTCAAATAAGTAAGTAAAATCTTAAAAAAAAAAAAAAATTTCTTTTAAGCCGCATAAACTAGTAAGCTAGGCCTATGGAGAAGGAAGTGCAATCCTTGCTCACTAATGAGCCCAGCAATAAATGTTTCAACAATAGTAACAATGGAAACTTCTCTGGTTTTCAACTTTTTAGAATCAAGCAGTAACAAGACCACCTGGTGGAAGAACAACAATCAGACAATGTAAAAACCGAAATAAGCATAACACACACACGTACGGCATTTAAATTATTTTTAAGGAATTAAAATTAATTTTCGTGTAACAAAAGAATAACGTAAACCAACTACTCTTTCATGAAAAAAATCAAAAACACCTGGAATTTGATAAAATGAGAGAAGAGCGACTAATACTTGGTGTCACAGAACCATTAGGGAAAAAGAAAAAAAAACGTTAACTAACCAATACCTTCTGTAAAGTGAGATTAGAGATAGGAGAACACGAGTCTTTTCATTACGAAGCCTTCTACATTACTCCAGCATGTTTAGCCCACACAGATATTATTGCTACTTTGGCTTTTACTACTACTTTTTATTTAGTTTAAGACTAGTTTAGCTCCGTCAGTTAAGCATCTGACCTCCACTCAGGTCATGATCCTGGGGTCCTGGGATTGAGCCCTATGTGGGGCTCTCTGCTCAGAGGGGAGTCTGCCTCTCCCTCAGCCCACCATTGGCTCATGCGTGCTCGCTCTCTCAAATAAATAAACTAAATCTCTTTAAAAAAAAAAAAAAATGACTATTTTTAGGTTAGGGCTAGGAACTCAACACATGAAGTAATGATTAACAGGAGAAAATCCCAATAATCCAAACAAAATCATTGTTCACCACATCCTAGCGGACAGTAGGAAGTTATACACATCAGTGCTTCTCAAACTCCAATTACTCGGAGATCTTGTTAGAATGCATATTCATACCCAGTAGGTCTGGGGTGGTACCCACATAATCTGCATTTTCATCCGAACTATGGGCTTGGGAACCACACTATGAAAACCAAGATTATATATGGAAAACCCAACTCTATTCTGTTGTGGCCCCCAAACATCTTTCAATTTTCTGCCATTTTAAAGAATCCTCAAAATTCACACACAACAGTAGAGATATTTTGGCATTTCCAGCCTTCTCTTGCTAAAAACCAAAGCAAACTAGAACTTCTCCAAGATTAGAACATAGCTAACATCTTAAAATTACAATGCGTATTCAAAAGTGAGCCCTATAACGTAAATCTCTTGCACACCAAAGTCTGCAGAAACCTACCAGCTATTATTACCTGTACATGACTTTCACATAAAGGTAATTTAACAAACTGTGGACATGAAGACTGTTAGTCTCCAAGTCTTCAATGCCTTCAAAGCCCCACACCTCACCCTCCCAGGTCTCTTTACCCTAGCTTACCTTGACATTGGGCATGTATTTAGAGAAGCGCTCATACTCCTTGCTGATCTGAAATGCCAACTCCCGAGTGTGACACATCACCAGCACAGACACCTGGGGCCGGGTGAGTAGATGGAGACAAACAATATATCCCTTTACTATGCCCTCTGGGGAAGCAAACCATCACAAAAGCACATCTGACAGATCATAAATGACTTCAGTTCTGAGATCTAAACCACTAACCCCATCATTACTATGTAATATCCCCTACGGCCATCAAAGGTGACAGAAATCATCTTAGCAACAAACTCTGAATGCATCAAAGGGCTAAGACAAAACACCCTTCTCAAATATTTCTAACCAAAATGTCCTCCACAGCACTCTCCCCAAGTATACCTGTCCAGTAACTGGCTCCAGCTGCTGCAGTGTGGCCAGCACAAACACCGCTGTCTTCCCCATGCCTGACTTGGCCTGGCACAGGACATCCATTCCCAGAATGGCCTGAGGGATGCACTCATGCTGGACTACAAGTAGGGGAGAAAAAAAAAATAAATTAGACTTCAGTCTCCAGATAACTCCACCACTTTTTTTTCACCACGCCAAGCCTATTTCTCACCATTCAACTTCTTAAATGGTTATCAATTTCCAGACCCTTTCTACCTCTCTTCTCCCTCAATCAAATTCATCCCAAAAGCAGGCCTTCCTAGTTCGTTCTTGCTTTAGCCTCCAACTCCAGTGCCCCCTCCTCCACCCCGCTAAAAACCGTCTTGCACCTACCAACAGCTCACTTTTAGTGCTCCTGACTCTGTCCCTATCCTCCTTAACCTGTAAAAATCTAGGACATGAGTGCCTGCCCCAGGCCATTTCTCCTACTCAGCTTGCCACGCCTTAGGCCACGTAACCCAGCAACTCAGAAGGGCTTAGCAGCTGACCCAGAAGCCACCGCTTTAGATCAAGCCATCAAGGTTTCCAGAGACCAGAGTTGGCCTGGCCCAACAGAGAGGGACTAAAGGTCCAACCAGCTCCTCTCTGGACATTCAAAATTAGAAACCAAAATGATAAAATTAAAAAAAAAAAAAAACAAGTAAACAAGAAGAATAAACCAGTCGCAAGAACAAATGGCAGACCCCTTAAGTTGCTTTTCAAGTATCATACATAAAAAGACAATCTATATAAATCTTTCCTACTGCTAAAATAATTGTTGACCCTTTATTTCCTGATCTAGCCTAAAGTATGTATCACCTGAGGGACTGTTTAACACACCTGTTTCTTGTATCCTTAGGGAGCCTAATGAATACTCTATACCGGAAGAAAATTTACCTTCTGATGGATGCTCAAAGCCACAGTCGACAATGGCCCGGAGCAACTCTGGCTTCAGCAGGAAGTCACGAAAGCCAGAGCTGTGGATGGAGACATAGGAGCCCTTCACATCCTTCTTGGCAGGGGCCTCAGCCCCATCTCCCCCAGCTGCTGTCTCCACCTCATCTTCTTCATAGTCCAAGAGCTCATTGTCCACATCGTTCTCTGCCATAACTGGGCCGGCAGGGGGAGAAGGGGAGGGGTCTCTGGATGGATTCACGCAGAGTAAGTGAAAACAAGGAAGGAAAGTGGGGGCTTGAGCAACAGTTTAAAAAAAAAAAAAAAAAAAAAAAAAACCCTAGTTTGTGATAGAAGAGCTAGGGAAAAAACAGATGAAAGACTTATTAGTCACAAACAAAGACTTCACCACCTCTTTCCCATCCCCACACTCTTCCCACTTTCCCTAAACTATGACACCTTTACCTGGGAAAAAAAACTAAGAGGGCCACAAAACATAAAAGCAAGAACAAACATAACACAGTGGCCCCAAGTGATGTAGTTAAGACACAAATTCCCAAAAAGATAAGGATCAGAGTAGCATAAACCAGGAAGTAGGAAGGTGAGAACCAGCATATGAATTCCTGATCTGTAACAGTAATGAAGAAAACAGAAAATGAAAAGCAAAGTATGAGACGGGAATAGAGAATGGAGAGAACACGATAAGGAGAAGTCCTTAAAGATCCTCAAAGAAACTCTGCGCTTTCCCTATAATCTCCCTAACAAAGCAGCCATCAGTCAAGGGTGATAGATTAAGGTCATCATTGCAGAAAGCGCTCACTTCTCAAAATAAAAACATCATGTGGCTGCCATCTACCTCCCACTCCTCAGTGACCTCCTTCTGGTGCATAAGAAATCCCTGTGTGATTGACGGGGATGGGGGGGGGTGTAAGAGAAATGGCTCAGCCAGAAAAGTATTCATCTCTTCCCCATACAATGAGAAGGAAGAACTATTTGAGAGAGACGCTTGCTCCAGCTTTAACAGAAACCGGAGCAAGGAGTCTCACATCACCCTTGCGTTACTCCTCACGTGAGACTCCCTTCCAATAATCACACAATGACACCGTGCATAAACATGCGGAACATGTTCCAAACAAAAGTTCGTAAGTCCAGATGAGAAAAGTCCAACTAGGCCCAGAAACCGGCTTCTCCTCCTATTCCCACCTTGGGCCATCAAGTGGACCCAGAGAGAAGAGAATGTGAAAAGAGACCCGCCCTCCACAAATGCCCGGAACCAGAGAACACCTAGCGCCGCCTCTCACCATCGCCAGGGCCTCCGATAAACAAGGAGCGCAGCAAAGGAGCAGGGAGCAAAAGAAACACAATGGCGCTGGGGCCACCATCTTGGATTGGGCCCCCTAGCATCCCTACCTCTTCCCCCGCCCCCGACACTCTTAGAGCTCTGAAAAGGAATGCAGGCAGTAGAAATAATGACCCAGCTAGGCCCCAGGGACCAGACCATAGCCTGTGGAACGGGTATCAGGAGTCCATTGGACAGAATGACCGCAAAGAAACGCAGATGGAGGCGGATGATACTGAAGGCCAAAACTTACCTGAGCAAGGCGAGCGCATATGGCGGCGGCAACAGCGACGAAAGAGGGAATCTGCCTTCACTTCCGGTTCTCGGCTTCCCTCATCCCCGGGCCTCCCGCCTTCTCGCCTGCAAGCGCGCAGGCGCAAGAGACCGGAAGACGCTCTTTTCCAAAGTCAATCGTTCCGCGCGCGGTGGGGTTGCCTTTAGAAAATGCCTGTGTGGATTTTTCTTTTTTTAAAGCCTCTTCTAATTCCTCCGCTACTGCAAGTAACAAAAGACATTAAGGAAACTAGCATCTCCCGCTGTTACCTTTTTTCTCTTATCCTCGTCTACTCCACGTCCCTTCCCTTAGGTTCTTGCCGGGCAGGTCTTCTCTCTAGGCACCTCTCCATGGGCGCCCCGCTCGGTGGAACAGGATGGCGCGGACTGAGAGTTCCCACGGGGTCCTTGGCCGGGTAGTCAAGGTGACCCGGGTGCATCTGCGCTATAGCTAGTGGGCCCCCAGCTGAGGGGTAGGAAGGAACCTGAAGCGCGCTTATGGGTCCTCACCCTACCCTTTTTCTCAGGGGAGGAGACGGTGAGCGGCATTTGCCCAAAATAATGTTGGTCCACGTAGTTGATGCCCCAAGGACCCTGAAGCGAATGGGAAGGAAATTCGAGTCGGGAAGGTGTCCTGAAACCACTGAGTGGGGCACGGGGGGGTGGGGGGGGTCCAGATTCTGCCTCAAGTGTTAAAGATAAATGGCAGGGCTTGAGGGTTACACAACATCCCACAAATATTGTTAACTCGACCAGAATGTCCTTAGCCCCGCTTCCAGCAGCCCCATTGTTCAGGTTGAATTTTTTCCTGAATGAAACCTTTAATATCCCAGTCTTTGATAATGCCTCAGAAGTCAGATGTGATGTCAAAAATGACAACAAACGTTTGGCTCTTTACCTGTTATCACAGTTAATTGTTTAACACTAAGGAATAGGTATCCTTATTCCCATTTTATAACAAGCAAACAAATAAAGCAACATGTCCAAAGTAACAAAGCTAGTGAGGTGACAGAGCCAGGATACAAATACATTTTATTTCTATTGTATCCTGCCTCCCTGCTTGAGTCTAGTTAATAATTACACTGTGGATTACCTCATCGGTTCAAATCTTTCGTTTGGTGAAGCAGGCAGTGCTTTCTGTGGCCAAGAGAAATAACAGTGATTCAAGGATGGTGCCCTTCTGGGCAGTTTTTCCGACCCTAAGTATTCCAAGTTTTGGGGCACCTAGGTAGCGCAGCCTGGTAAGCGTCTGCTTTTGGCTCAGTTCATGATCCCAGGGTTGTGGGCTCCAGTCCTGCATCAGGCTCCCTGCTCAAGCTTCTCTCTCTCCCTCTGACCCTGCCTGCCATGAACGTTCTCTCTCGCTCTGCTCGCTCTCAAATAAATAAATAATCTTTCTTTTAAAAAGGAAAGAAAGAAAAAGAAAGCAAGATAAGGGACAAAGAGTGCTTGTTCCTACACCAGCTTTTCTCTATACCTGCCATCTATAGTTCCCAGGTTCCGGACAAGTAACCATGTATGTTCCTCACTTTAGAGAAATAATAACACACTAGTACCTTTTGTTTTTCCAACAAGTTTCAAAGAACAGCCCTTTTGGGCATTTGGGGAATATGTAAATAAGGAACAAGAGAGTGACTAAAGATAAGAAATGCTGAAGCAAAAGGAAGCTGCTTCCACACACCAGTTGATTTGCCCAGAGTTCTTTTATTGACACTTTTTCATTGTTACAAAGGGAAGGATATTGAGGATGCAGAAAGGAAAGCCATGCATACAAGGGAACATAGCATCACTTTAGGTCTTAGGAAGCAGTGAGCATCTGATGGGTCTTTGGGGAAATCGGAAAAGGGGAAATCCAATAAAGATATAACATAACTCAGAGACAAAAAGACAAAGAAATTCAACATCTTCCTGGAATCACAGTAGAGAGGCCAAATGAGGTTTTCGTTACTTTTCAGGGATCATAAAGCTCTGGGGGAAAAGAGGCAGGAAGAACTAATTCTTCAGAGAATTATTAGGTTCACAGAATGAAGAAGTAGAATTAGAAAGCCATTGACAAATATGAGGAAACAGCTGTGTTTAGGTTTTGGCAGGTGGGCAGGGAGTAGTAATAATGCCATAAAGCAGCCATTTATTGAATCACAGCTACTATATGCCAAAAACCATGCGAGGATTTAACAGAGTGATCCCTAATCATTGCAGCAACCCTATAAGGTAGGTAACATCGTTGCCGTCATCGTCGTCGTCATCGTTATTTCAGTCCTGTAGAGGAGGACACTGGACTACAGGTTAAGTAGCTTGTCCTGTCCCAGCAAGTGGCAGGGTTGGGAAAGGGACCTCAGTGTCCCAGGCTCTGAAACCAAAGTGTTTTCCACATCCGGACTTCTCCACACTACAAATTTTAAGAGGAGTTGGGTGAGGGTGACTTGGGAGTTTACAAGGTCCCAGTGAAGGTTAAAGAACAATAAGGAGATTCAGATCTGAACAGGATAACTTCTAAATTTCACAGAATTATTGGATCTTGCCCCTAGAATTTCCAGGGAATGGAGAGAAAGTGGGAAAGAAGCAGCGAAGATGGTGGGAAGTAATTTTGATTGGGGCATTTCTTTGAGAAAGGGAAATGGAAAGGAAGAGTCAGGCCCTACAGTGGATCCTAGACAGCAATCCGGTAGTTGGGGTGGACCTGGGGCCTGACGTCGCAAACCATGCCAAGAAGTTGGGCCAAGACGCGTTCTTGGTTTCTCTGCTGAGAGCTCTGCATGCCCTGCACCTGGCGTCTTGTAGCCTGTTCCACCTCAGCCGACAGGTTCCCCTGGGAGCCCATGGCCTGGGGGGATTGGGAAAGGGATAGAAGAGAGAAAGGCAAAAGCAGAAACAGAGAAAGAAGGGTCCAGGCAGGTGGAGAGGAAGATCCTGGAGCAAGGCCAGGAAGAAAAGCCCTTGTCAAAACCACCCCCATCCCATGGAAATAGCCAGACACCAAAGAAAGCAACACAATTCTCCTTCCTTTGAGACTTGGCATGCAACTTCATCCTAAAACAGACTGTAAAACCCCCACCACCTCACTATATGTGACCATAAAACTCTGCCTTTCACCCCAAATGACATTATACTCCACACAGATGGTGGCAATTCCCCCCAAAAGCTGTACAAGTCTTTCAAATGTCTCAGATTCTCTTCGTTATCACACTTCTTTATCAATAACATGGCCCCTGCTAAGGGTCCCCTTCAGCCCTTTACCACCTTATTTTCTTGTACAGTCACCCTGTCCACACCTTATCAGATACACCCACCAACTTGCACCCTGGGGTCCCTTCTCAACTGTCCCACAACTCACCGCCTGCTGCTTGCTCTGAAATTCCTGCTCCCGCTCTCTACGGTACTGCTCCACCTCCATCTGTGCCTCCTCCTTCGCCTGCTTCAGACGCCGGGCCTTCCCTGGAAGCAGAAGAAAGGACAGAGGGTGGGGGTAGACCCCCTCACAAAACGAGATAGTAGTGGTCATTCCTTTCCAGAAAGTTTTTCTGCCTTCTCTCAGCCAACCAGGTGCTAGATTCTAACACCCACCCATTTCTTTCCTCCTAATCAGCCATCCCAGCCCCAGCTTCCTCCCCACCAACCTTGGATTTTCCCAGGGACTGGAAGGTTTATTGTCCCCCCCCCCCCAGTTTTCTTTCCAGACTCCTAAGGGAGAGTGGAGGAGACTCACTCTTTCTGGCATCTGCCACCTTCTCAGCCGCCCGCTTCTCGGCTTGCAGGAGCTGCTGGATACCCTGGGACTGACTGGCCATTTCTGTCGTTATGGCTGATGATGTTTTGGATGCTACTAAAGTACCAGATGGCTCCTCCACCCCACCCCCAACACACACACACATACACCGCCTACTTCTCTTCCACCAGCTCCTTGCTGCAGTCCTCCACTACCCCTGGGTCTTAGTGCCCCCCTTTTCTGCTCAGCCTTCCGCACCGGTGTCTCCCACAAACTGATCCTCCATTGATGGCTGGCCTCTTCTCCCAGGTCTATACTGGCAGTACCCAGAAGGACCACCTGGGAGCAGCAGAGACCAGGCCCAAAGCTGTCTGGCACCATCGCAGCAGGTGCAGGGTTTTCCCGGTCAGAAAGTCCAGGAATGGGGACAGGACCAGAGAGGAGTGAGGAGACGCAGAGGGACTGAAAATGTACTGAGAAGGTAAGGAAGTCAACATGTGTCACGTATTGGGAGAAGAGGATGGTGGGTTTCCCTGAATTCTTCCTACTTCTCTTCCCCTCTTTTTTTCACTCTCTCCCATTTCCATCTCCTTTTATCTTTCCCAAGTCTAAATTTCTGCATCCATTTCGTTTGCCTTCTCCTACGGTTGTTTCTTTATGTCTTTACACGTGTCTTTTTTTATCTAGCCCTATTCTTGGCCTCGTCGTGGTTTTCCATTTTCACTATGACTTTTAATCCTTCTTCTCTCCCCTGTTTTCTCTCTCTTATCATCTTCTACCTCTGAACCATCTCCTCTCTCTTCCCAGTTGGGGGAATCGGCCTTTTTACTCTCCCATGCTGGTCTCCTTTTCCTCATTTGTCGTCCAGTCTTCCGGTTTCAGGCGGACCCTTTATCCTAAGTTCCCAAGTTCCCCACCCGAGACCAGACTGAGGAAACACACACACCTCGCCCCTCGGAGAGAGAGACGACATCCGGTAACGAGTTCATTTCCGCCCTTTACATGCGTCTCGGCTTGCGCCATTTCCGCCAGCCTAGAGTGTCCCCGCCCTTCCCGCCTCCCTTCCTCGCAGCGTTTTAAACACAGGCCTCGGGCCTACAGCTCTGGGGGTACTTAGGGGGGCGGGGGGTCAGGTCTGATGAGTAACCCCTCCCCCCAGGTCCCAGAGGGAGAAGCCTCCACATCTGTCTGCCGGGTACATCATATTCCATTTCTAGATTATTATTTGAAATTATCTGTGACTTTTAAATTCAGATTTCTGTTGATAAATATTTTCCCCATCATTCTTTATTTGTCTTTTTCAAAGTCTCCTATTAAAAATTATCTGGGCTAATGAACCTCAAAGCAATTACCCTTTTCTCAAATTTTACGTTAAAAAATCTGTGACCCAAGCCCCCTTCAAATTTTTTTTCAAACCTAGCATCTGGCTGAGGGATGAGAGTTAGGAGAGACCTCATCTCTTGCTGAAGATGTAGGAAGAAGGGGGGCCGAAGGGAGGAACAAGAGGGGATGTTAGGGGCGGCGGGGGAGGGACCAGGCCACGCTGGGGCCCTGACAGCTGCCTTTTTTTCCTTCTTCCTCAGCCCAAGACTTCCATGGCCTCCACTACCCGCCGCCAACGCCGAGAACGTCGCTTTCGTCGTTACTTGTCTGCAGGACGGCTGGTCCGGGCCCAGGCCCTCCTCCAGCGACACCCAGGCCTCGATGTAGACGCTGGGCAACCCCCACCACTGCACCGGGCCTGTGCCCGCCACGATGCCCCCGCCCTGTGCCTGCTGCTTCGGCTTGGGGCTGACCCTGCCCACCAGGACCGCCACGGGGACACGGCGCTGCACGCTGCTGCCCGCCAGGGCCCTGATGGTGAGTTTTCCTGGTGGGGAACAAGGTCGTGAGCCACTGACTGACCGCAAATGAGATGAAGGCCAGCAGCTGAAAAATAAGCTAGTTGTGCCTGGGATGGTAGTTGACCCCGTTGGCATTTGTGACTTTATATTACTGAGCTACCATTGTCTGAAGAACCCAACATTCTCAAAACAGCAGCTTCAAATTTCACAGCTTAAAAGATTATAGCTCCTTTGTCTCTTGACTGGTTGTTTGCCTGCAGTGCAAAAAGTAAGATAGAGGTTAGGTTCTGCAGTTCCATTGCCTGGGTTCAAATCCCCGTGCCACACTTAACAGCCGTGTATTCTTGGGCTATTTACTAAACTTCCCTGAGGCTTAGTTTGCCCTCGTGCAGAATAAAATAACAACAGTTCTCACTATGTCCCAGCACTTCTCACAAAACAGCCCAGTTAATCCTCATAACAATAAGTACTAATATTATTCCCTGTTTCTCAGAGGAATTAGAATCCAGGCAGCCTAGCTAAATCATCTGTGCTCTTAACAACTGTCTTACCCTGTGTGATACATTATAGAATTACACAGTGATAGCGCCCATGTTCAAAACACCCATGCTGTATCATATATTTTGATGACGCAATACGTAATTAGAGCACCTGGCATGTGATTAGCACACAGTAGATGTTGGTCAGTAGTGTTCCTGTTATCAACAGATCTGTACTCCCTTCACCGTCCTCTCTGCAACTCAAAAACACTAAGACCCAAACATTTTTCACCAGACTCGTTTGGTGAGAAAAACTAACCTGAACTAAAGCGAGACTATCTGTGAGTCATTTTCATCCTACAGATGTCAATGTTCATACATTTCTCCACAGAAACATTCATGTGTTTGATTATTGGAGCAGCCCAGGCCCTCCCCAGCTACTGAATATACAGTGTATGTACTTTCAGATCAGATCTACCAAATCCCAAAAACATCTGAGTTCTGAAAAACCTTTGACACTGAGGGTTTCAGATGGGGACCTATTGACAATGGACACAGCTTTGTAGAGGTAGCAACCCTTAGGAAAATAAAACCCTCTGGCAATTTTCCCCTGCTAGAGATTTTCCTTCTAAAGTAAGAACAGTAGAGGAAAATCCCTAGGTTGGGATGAACAACCCAGTTTGATTGCTACTATTACCATCTTCTAGCTCCCCAGCAGAAACCCCTCTTACCCCCAAAACTTTCCCCATATAGGAAAAAAAAAAAAAAAACCTTTAATTCCCTTTAATATAGTAAGATAGGCTGGCATATTCAGATTTTTTAAAAACCAAAAACTTAAAATGAGGAGGTTTGCAAAATGTAGGCATCTAATTTGACAGCTGACATTAAACATGGCAAGAGAGCAGAGAACCCTGTGGCAGATTTCAGACCTCCTCCAAGTTCAGACTCTACCACCTACAGGCTGTGTACCAGGGACATGTAGCTTAACTTCCATGAGCCCAATTTTAATCCCTTTTTTTAATTATTATTTTTTTAAATTTTTTAACTTGCCTCTCTAAATGGAAGTTGTGACAAGTAAATGAGGCAAGCACTTGGTACAGGTTTGGCACCCACCAGATGAAAAGTATTGTTATTTTTATTCTTATACTACCCAATTATGGCTTTTTGAGGAATAAAAATCTCTCTCATAGTAGGATCTTCCTTCATTTTATTGACATCTAAGAAGCATATGAGATCGATACTATTATCCAATTACAGATGTGGAAATTAGGGTCTTGAAGGTTCAGGAACTTCCTGAAATATCCTAGCCAACACGTTGTCTTCCTAAGGGGGGCCTGCCCTCAGTTCCCAACCAAGCCCTGGTATCTTCTCAGGCCTTACTTATTCTGTTCCCTGACAGCCCTGCCACCAGGTGGCCTTATGGCTCTTCGGTAGAGTGGCCCATCTCATTCAGTTGGAGCTTCTTTAGAGACTGTTAGGTCTTAAAATGCAAATTCGTTCTTTGAACAGATGAAATGACCCAGGATCCCCTGAGGAAAAGGAGGTTTTCCCCCCTTTTCCAAGTTAGGTGCAAGGGGTGAGGCAGTTCCTGCTGGACTGACTGGGCTATGTGGTCATAACCAATGAGATGCCAATGAATGGCTTTCGGTAACTTCCTTTTGGGACCCGTCACCTCCTGGGGAAGTGGTCTTAGGTGTCAAAGACCCTCGTATAAACATACCTTAGTCAGACAATAACCATTCTCTACACACAACAAGAACTAGTGAACACTAAGAAACGATAGGTCATTTTCTCACAGTCTTTGCAAAAAGAAGAAAGTCCAAAGGCAGCCTGGTTTGTTTTTTTTTTTAATGTCACATTGAGTGCACTTCTGCTCTGCGCCAGCACAGTACCAGACCTCTACCACCCGTTACTCACTTGGAGCTGCACAGTAGGAGTAAGCTGTGGCCCTGTTTTGCAGATAGCTGAGCTGTCTGGTTTATGTTCCATTTGCCTTTCCAGCCTTTCCTACCATAGCACAACCACAAACCTGCAGCTCCAGCTACGTAGCTCTGTCTTCAGTGACCCCAAACGTGTTTTTCACAAGACTGCCTGTCTCTTACCTGTTGCCTTCCCATCCACCTGATTTTTACTTTGCTAAGTTATCCTCCCTTCCCAGCCCAACATAAGCCCCGCCTCCTCCTTGAAGCCCTCTTTGACCACCCCCCCCTTACCTTTTCTTCCTCCATGCCTCAGTCAATCATCACTCAATATAAGCTTCCAGTATTGGTGTCTTTCAAAAATGTGTTGTGCCAGTTAGTGTGAACATCCCTTTAAGGTAGAAATCACGTCTCAAAATGGAGAGGGGAAGAGCAGTGCTTCTGTCACTAAGGCAAAGTACATGTTTACTTCAGATTCTTTTTCATACATATTTTTCCTAATATAAAAGTATACCATACTAATTAAAGAGCACTGGGAAGTCGATCTGTACTGCTAAATTGATGATAAAGGTGACATTTCAAATCACCAGAGGGCAGCAAGCTATTTAATAAACAACCTTGAAGTATTTGGCCCATCTGAGGAACAGTCCTACTGACTCAAAAGTACAGCTGCTTAAAGATCTAAGTGTGACAGGAAGGGTTTGTACCAAATTCATGGGAGGAGTTTCCTCTGGGGAGGGGAATAAAATTTAGAAGGCAGCATCAGAGAAATCTTTAGTTTTATCTATGGTAGTTTATTTCTTGAAGACAAAATAATGTTGCAAAAATTACAGAACAGTAACATACCTTGTGGGAGAAATAGGAGTGCTTATTGTACTATACTTTCTACATTTTTTAAAGACTTTATTTATTTATCTGAAAAAGATAGAGCACAAGCAGGGGGAGCAGTTGGCAGAGGGAGAAGCAGGCTCCCCACTGAGCAGGGAGCTCTGTACAGGGCTTGACCTCAGGACCACGATCCAAGCATAAGGCAGATGCTTAACCAACTGAGCCACCCAGGCGCCCCTACATTTTTTTAGATAAATAAGAAGATAGTAGAAAAAAACCACAAGAGGATATTTTTATAATCTTAGGGGGGAGAAAGCCTTTCTAAGGATGCAGTAAAGCCAAAGGCTATAAAAGAAAATATTGATATGGATTTAACTACATAAAAACCTTTCAAAGATGGGAGAAATTATTTACAAATACTTGACACAGGGGGTGATATCTATAATATATAAAGAATTCTCTTGTCTACATATATAATATCTAGGAGAAAAGTAGGCAGAGAATATGAACAGGTCATTCACAAATGAAGTAAAGAGCCAGGGGCGCCTGGCTGGCTCAGTCACCAGAGCCTGTGACTCTTATCTCAGGGTCGTGAATAGAGATTACTTAAAAATAAAATCTTTTAAAAAAAGAAAGAAAAAGCCAAAGAACATATAAAGTACAGTAAATTTCATTAATAAGGTCATTTTTTTCATATATCAGATGAGCAAAATTAAAAGGGTTGGTTGATGATAATCTTGGTAAAGGACAACACAGGCATTCTTATATTCTCTGTAGGAGTATATGTTGGCACAAATTTGAGAGCAGTTTGGTAAAATCGCTCATGTCCTTTGACTCAGAAATTCCACTTCTGATAATCTACCCCACAGAAATACTGTAAGGAGTCTACAAAGACAAATGTAGGAGGCCGAACATTTTTGGAAACAAAGTCTATTGACTGGGCGTGGGGAGATGTTTGTTTCATACACATAGCGGAACACTACATGGTCATAAAAAAGAATGAGGTAGACTGTGTACGCTCCTGTGGAAAAGTACGAATGAGATGGGAGGTGAAAAAAGCAAGTTGCCAAACAAAACATATAGCATGATGACATATCTCTGAAAAAAAGTCATCCTGTGTATGCATTTGTACCCAGACAGGACCGGAAGGGACCATAGCAAACTGTTAACAGTGATTAAATGTATTCTTCGTTCTTTAAAAAGAAAATTTTCTCATTAGTTATATCCCTTTCATATTGAAACATTAACCAGGGGTGCCTGGGTGGCTTAGTCAAACATCTGCCCTCGGCTCAGGTCATGATCCCAGGGTCCTGGGAGGGAGCCCCACATCAGGCTCCCTGTTCAGTGGGAAGCCTGCTTCTCCCTGTCCCACTCCCCCTGCTCGTGTTCCCTCTCTTGCTGTCTCTCTCTGCCAAGTAAATAATAAAATCTTTTTAAAATTTTTAAATAAAATATTAACCAAATAAGATTGGAGGACAGCCATCCATAGTCTTACCACCCAGAGACTAAGGTTTTTACATATTTTTTTCTAGTCTGTTTTTTTTTTTTCCTTTCAACCATAGGATTTGGTCTCTTCTTTTACACAGTTGTGGTTGAATCCTATGTATAGTTTCATAGCCAGCTTTTTCCACACACGAACATTTTTAGGGGTTATTGAATATTCTGTACCATATTTTACTTACCATGTTTTATAGTCCTTAAAACCCATGAATTTAAAAACCTGTGCAAGCCTGAACACGCACCTATCCTCGTACCTGCTGTGAACTGTAGTGGGGAGTAAGCAGTTGAAAGACAGGACTAGGTATTTGCTGGGTGGGACAGGTGGAGAGGGCTGGTGACAGGTCACATCAGTGGTAAAGAGAAGTGGCCCCTCCTCCTCTCATCCTGATGGGGTTTAAGCTGGGCAGCACGCAAGTGTACCAAGAGATGATGGTGGGGGGCGATGGGCCTTGCCCAGCCAAGGTGGGCCCATTGTGTTATCCTACCTTCCTACCTTCCTGGCAGTGACAGGATAACCCTTCCCTTGTCCCATCCCTTTGCCAGGTGGCCAGTACTTGGCAGCACCACAAAGTAAAGATTTAAGGACTGGCTGCCCATTTCCTCCTGCCCTAAGGAGAGAAAGTAGGTCCACAGGAAGGGAGGGTGCCTCACTCACCTTCCTCTGTCCCAGGAGTGAAAGAGTTGCTTGGTGGCCATAGGGGGTGGGCTGGGCCAGGGGTAGAGTGCCAGGCTGGCCGTAAAGTGGGCAGCATGGCCTTCAGCTGATGCTAGAGTGGATGCAGTGAGGTCAGGGCTCAGGAAAGAGGAGAGTTCAGGAACATCAGTCCTTCTTTTTACCACTACCCTCCTGTCAGCCAGCACCTGGGTGGGACCCTCTATCTCAGCCCCTTTCTCCTGCCCTAGATCAGTAGTCAATTTGGAAAGAGCTTGCTTTGCTGCGGAGAACATATCTGTGGCTTAAACTTGTTGCTGGTGTAGACCCTCTACCTCCCCACCCCTCTCCCAGAATGCGCTGTATGAGGTTGGCTGAGTGAAATTCCCCTCCCTGAAAACATTTATTTTACTCAGTTTATTGAAAAGTGATCTGAAATGGTTCCTGTTCTTTATTTATATATTTATAATGGTGCAGAGTAAAATTTTCAGTTATTTTACCAGTCTGAAGTATAGCTTTGGGTCAGAAACACACAGTAAGAGTTGTAAAGTGACAATATTTTCAAACCAAAAATGAAATACATAGTTAGAGGTTTTTGACATTGCCCAGGGTGTCTGGAGGCAGGCTGGAAAATGTCATTTAACACAGTAGAACTCCTAGGACACTAAAATAGTTTGTAGGGACTCGGATCAGAATATTTTAAACTACCACGCTTCTCACGCATGTGGTAAGCTATCAGTAAATATTTGTCAGTGACAGTGATTTCCTAATACCCAGGAGGCTTCTGTGTGGGCAACCATTTCCATTGCTGTAGGACCAAGGGAGTGAGTGACCAGCAGGATTCAAGATGGCAGCCGTGTCAAGGAATAGGAGTCCCAGCTAATTTCTGCTCCCTGCTCTCCCACCAACAGCCTACACGGACTTCTTCCTGCCACTACTGAGTCGCTGCCCTTCTGCTATGGGAATAAAGAATAAGGATGGGGAGACCCCTGGGCAAATTTTGGGCTGGGGACCCCCCTGGGATTCTGCTGAAGAGGAGGAGGACGAGGCCTCTAAGGAGCGGGAATGGAGGCAGAAGCTGCAGGGAGAGCTGGAGGATGAGTGGCAAGAGGTCATTGGGAGATTTGAAGGTGAGGAATCCATTCCCATCCACAGCTGCCCTTCCCCTTGACTGCTTTTCTGTACCCGCCGCATGCATGTTCCTGCTGGCCTCCTGTACCCCCTTCCTCTATACTGCCTTCCCCTCTTGACTGTCACCTCCTCAACAGCATTTCCCAGCCACCCCAATCCTGCCCTCCCAAACAGATGATGCCTCCCATGAGACCCAGGAGCCCGAGTCCTTCTCAGCCTGGTCAGAGCGCCTGGCCCGGGAGCATGCACAGAAGCACCAGCAGCAGCAGCGCGAGGCAGAGGGAGCCTGCCGACCCCCACGGGCTGAGGGCTCCAGTCACAGCTGGCAACGGCAGGAGGAGGAGCAGCGGCTCTTCCGAGAGCGAGCCCGGGCCAAGGAGGAAGAACTGCGTGAGAGCCGAGCCAAGAGGGCACAGGAGGCTCGTGGGGACCGAGGGCCAGAGCCAGCCAGGGCTGGGCCCAGGGCAGAACACCCAAGAGGAGCAGGGAGGGGTAGCCTTTGGCGCTTTGGCGATGTGCCCTGGCCTTGCCCTGGAGGAGGGGACCCCGAGGCCATGGCCGCAGCCCTGGTGGCCAGGGGCCCCCCCTTGGAGGAGCAGGGGGCCCTGAGAAGGTACTTGAGGGTCCAGCAGGTCCGCTGGCACCCTGACCGCTTCCTGCAGCGATTCCGAAGCCAGATTGAGACCTGGGAGCTGGGCCGCGTGATGGGGGCTGTGACGGCCCTTTCTCAAGCCCTGAACCGCCATGCGGAGGCCCTCAAGTGACCCCAGAGAAAGAGTGAGAAACTGCAGGGAATGCAGCCTTAGAGGCAGGGCAGTAGTGAGGGGAAGGTCAAGTATGGGGACGACGAGGAAGAAGCTGATGCTACGCAGCGAAGGATATGTGGTGGGAGCGAAACTTGTAACGAGTGGGAGTGGGGAGGATATGGGCCACCACCACTGCTCCTTGACTCCTCCATTTCCTAATAAGACCTGGTTCCACATCTCACTCCTGGTGTCTCCTCTGCCTTTTTCCATTGCTGTGGTTTTCATCATACATGACATCTCCTTTCCCACCCCGCCTGTCAGAACCCGCAGCTCCTACACACCTGCAACACGCACGTACACACCAAGGTGGGCTCTCAGCTGGAGCCAAGAAGGCCCTGCTTGCCCAGCCACAAAGGCAGCTCTGAGAAGACCCAGTTTGCCCACCAGTCACCACTCCCTGCACTGTGCTCCTCTACTGTCAGTGACTGGAGAAATAGACATGAACAGAGACGAAAAAAGGAACAAAACCAGTTTCCCTCCTCTCCCCAGTTCCCCAGCCAGAACCACATCCTCCTCCCCACTGAATACCCCCTCCCCCAACACAGGGCTTTCCCTTTGCTGAGTCACTGAATGATCTGAGTTGGGGGCAGCTGGAGCTGGGGGCCATGAGGAGGTTGTGGGAGGATGGGATAGAAGTAGAATGGACAGAGGAAGAGCCCTGTGGGGGAGTGGAATTTCGGTTGCTAAAATTAGGAGCAGGGGAAGGAGGTGGAAAGAGCCAAATTATGTAACCTGGATTGTCTGTTCTTGGGTAACCAGGGATCCACACCCAAGGCCGTCTCCCCTCTAGCTCCTCAATCCTAGGTCTCCTCCAGAGCCCCAGTCCTCTCCAGCTTCTGCCCCTCTCCCACACCTAGGCTTTATCTCTGGGCAGTCTAGACTTGGCCTTCCAGATACACCCCTTTTGCTGAAGTCGAGGAAAAGGTCCTGAGGGGCAGTGGGAGGGGATCTGGCACCATCCCTTTCACTGTTCCATACTCAACCTCCACTCAGGCTCCCCACAACGGGGAGAGGAAGTTGCAGAACATGCCACTGCCATCCTCCAGGACACAAACTCCACGAAAAGAAAAGAGTTACAGGCATGCGCTGGTGTGTGCAATCTACACGCGTCTACAACAGAGAATCTTAAGAATCAGAAACGAATGTTTTAGGTGTGGAGCCCTGGTGTACTCAAGAGCACCCAGAGGGCGGTAGAGCATAGGGAGGGAAGCCCGAGGAAGCAGGGGAACATGGGGTGGGCCTGAGACCTTGGGAGAAGACAGCCAGGAGATGGAAGGCCTCCCAGGGACCAGGCATCTGTTCAGGGTCAGGAGGAGGAAGGGCTGGTGAGAAAGATCCTGTGAGAGGAAGCTGCTGTGATTCAGAGAAGAGCCTGCGAGCTGTGAGCAACCCAGGCGTCCGGTTCCTCTCACAGGCCAGAGATTTCGGAAGTGGCATGCAAAGAGCCCAGGTTTGGAGTTGGGGGGAGTTGGGGTTAGGATCCCTAAGCTGGGGGTTGAGAGATAAGCAACAGAAACCTTTGGTGTCCAAATTTGCTCCTCCATCCAGCAAATTTTTCTCTGGTTTTGAAGCACATCGTTTCCACTCTGCAAGAGTTACATAAAACCAAATCAAGATAAGCCCTGATACCTGGCCCCCAAACCACCTTTTTTTCAACGTCCCTCCCTGGTGTCTGGCCCCCAGCCCTCTTGGGGGTTCCCCTGAGATGAGGGCTGTTCACTTTCTCTGACCACAGGGTTTCCGCTTCTGTGTCTCTTGTTTCCTAGGCTGATAAAAATACTGAGCCCTAGAGGCCCTGGCTTCCTCTGACCCCCCGGGGCCAGGCAGCAGGCATCCTGTCCACCGTGGTGGGGGCAGGGAGGGGGGCCCAGGGATCCCCAAGGGATGACTCAGTGCCTACTGTGAAACACTGGGGAGGTGTGAATGTGTGCATCTGCTCTCGAGAGCTGGAACGAGGAATCAATTCTTGGTGAAGGATGACGTGCTGGGGTTCATTTAGAAAAACAGGATTAGGGAACAAGACCAGTGAGATCAAAAAGGGTCAATTGGAGGATTGGGCTTGGGGCTAGTTTGAGTTAAGCTAGGAAAAGGATCTGGGAGGGACTCTATTCAGTGTAGTTCAAATGAGCAACAAGTAGCCCGAAGAGAAATCCGGACTGCTGCAAGTTTGCCAACAGGGGAAGTGAGGTCTATACCTAATTGTCATTCAGGGCATGATGCTGAGTACATGTTGAGGAGTAAGACATAGTGGATACAGAAAAGGGGTGGGGAGGGCGCTGAGCCAGGAGAGGGCATTTGACTGGTGCTGATGAATGGGCAGAATTTCTATGGGTAGAGATGAAGAGACAGGCTCCGTAGACAAGTAAAATGGCTTCAGCTGAGACCAGGAGTCAGAAAACAGTATATTGAGGAAAAGATGAATGTCCTGAGACAGACAAAGCACAGGTGTGAGTAAGCACGTGTTGAAGAGAGGCCCGCAGGAGGCCAAGGTAAAGGGTCTGGGACCTCTTCCTGTGTGTCTCAGTGCTAGTGGCAGCTGTGCAGAAGAGAGGGAGAGAACAGGAGAGTGATGCAGGGGTTACAGATGAGGAGTAAAGAAGAAAGCAACAATCGATCACTCGTTCTATGAACACCTACCATGTCAAGCCCTTTCCTAACAGGAGTAATCCTGCCAACAACTGTTCAGAAGATGGGTGGTAGATCTCCATTATAAAGAGGAAACCAGGGGCGCCTGGGTGGCTCAGAGGGTTAAGCCTCTGCCTTCGGCTCGGCTCGGGTCATGGTCGCAGGGTCCTGGGATTGAGCCCCGAATAGAATCGGGCTCTCTGCCCAGCAGGGAGCCTGCTACCCACTCTCTCTGTCTGCCTCTCTGCCTACTTGTTTTCTCTCTGTGTGTGTCAAATAAATAAATAAAATCTTTTTTTAAATAAATAAGGAGGAAACCAGGGCTCATAAACATACTGAACTTGCTTAAGGCTGCATGGATAAAAAGTAGCAGATTAACACTAAGTGCATCTTACTCCAAAACTTGTGTACTTTCACTTAGGTCCGAGTACTTCCAAATAGCATTAAAGGAGGAAACAGATCTTAAAAACTTTGAGAGGATAAGTCATTAGCACAAGACAACCAATAGGACAGTGGGAGGAATCTTAGAAGAGGAACCTTAGATGGCTCTGAATTTTGAGCCTAGAGGATTAGAAAGATGATTCCCTAAGCCTAGAAGGAGACACCAAGCTGAAGGGAAAGATAAGGAATTCTATTTCAGTCACTGAAGCAATACATTTTGATTAAGCACAAAATATATTTGATAGGAGCAAAGCAGTCTGCTAGACAAAAGGTTTAAATGAAATATAAAGTCACTGCCCTCATAGAACTTGCAGTCTAATGAGATAAACAATCTATAAGTAACAACTACAGGTCATAAGGGGGGGTGCACCTCCTTAGAGTAATCAAGTGTTCAAGGAAGGCCTCCTGAGTTTGACGTGCTGCCATAACAGTCAGACGGAGATTTCCGGCAAGCAGGTCAGGAGCCCAAGAGAAAAGTGTGAGCTGGAGGGGTAGATTCGGGCATCATTCCCTTCCTAGTGGACACTGAGCCTCGGAGTGCACAGGATCCTTGCGAGAAGATGACCAGAAGAGCCCCGAAGATGGTCTAAGCAAGAGGAATCAATAAAGGAGGGAGGTGGGGAAGCGGTCAGAGAAGTAGGGCAAGGGAGGGGTGTGCCAAGCAGAGACAGAGCCACATCTAATGTTTCAAAGAGGTCGAGTAGGGGAAGGTTGAAAGATCCTTTGGGTTCAGGAACTAGACAATTACAAATTTTGAGAAAACAGTTTCCACTTACCAGAGGGGCAGAAATCACTTTACATAGGTTGAGGAATGAGTAGGAGGTGAGGAAAGGGAGGTGGTGGGTACAAAGTCATAGAATGGTGAATATGGAAGATAACTAAGAATCATCTCTAGGGCAACCCACGAATTTTACAGATGAGAAAAATGTTACCAGTTCCCAAAAAAGTGGGTAGTCAAGGGGGCTAGTCTCGAGACATCACACAGAAAAGGAAGGTGAGAGATGAAATGGCAGAGAAAAACAGAGTCCAGGGAAATATTTTTTTCAAGAAATAAAATTGAACACGTTTGTGAAATGAAAGCAGGGTGCACGAAGAGAGAAAGATCCTGAAAATATGAGGGGTGGGGTGGAAAATATAGTAAAAACACAGGAAGTGGAATATAGAGCAAAAGGATCAGCCTTGGACAGGATGAAGAGTCCTTCTTGGAGTCAAAAGAAAAGAAAGATGGGGCGTCTGGGTGGCTCAGTCGGTTAAGCGTCTGCCTTTGCATCAGGTCATGACCCTGGGGTCCTGGGATCTAGCCCTGGGCCAGGCTCCCTACTTAGCCCCAAGTCTGCCTCTCCCTCTGCCCCTCCCCCAGCTCATGCTCTGTCTCTCAAATAAATGAAAAAATATATTTTAAAATTAATTTAAATTTACATTTAATTTAAAAAAGGGGGGGAGCCTGGGTGGCTCAGTCAGTTAAGCATCTGCCTTCGGCTTGGGTCATGATCTCGGGGTCCTGGGATCGAGTCCCATTTTGGGCTCTCTGCTCAGGGGAGAGTCTGCTTCTTCCTCTTCCTGCTGTTGCCCCTGCTTGTGCCTGATCACTCTCTCTCTCTCTTGCTCTGTCTCTCAAATAAATTTTAAAAAATTATTTTTAAGTAAATAAGGGGCGCCTGGGTGGCTCAGTGCGTTAAAGCCTCTGCCTTTGGCTCAGGTCATGATCCCAGAGTCCTGGGATCGAGTCCCGTGTTGGGCTCTCTGCTCAGCAGGGAGCCTGCCTCTCCCCTCTCTCTGCCTGCTTCTCTGCCTACTTGTGATCTCTGTCTGTCAAATAAATAAATAAAATCTTTAAAAAAATAAAAAATAAATAAAATACAAGTTGTATTCAAGTTTCTTTTTAAAAAAAAAGACATGTAAATAAAGTGAAGGAAAAAGAAGGAAGTGAAGAGATCAGCTTGGGTGGCCTTATGAAGCTCAATGAAATAGATGACAGCTTCACCAACTGAGAGTAAAGAGGTAAAATTGAGGTGTAAGAAGCACAGAGATTTAGAATATCACCTGCAGGAGTAGAACATCGAATCAAGAAAAGAAGATCGAGAAACCCTGAGGGCTCTCTCAGGTTAGATGGCC